TGATCGCGGGAGCGGGAGCGCGCCGCCCTCTGGTGAGATGACCAAAAAGCCGAAGGCGTTGGGCCTTGGGCTTCGGGCTGGCGGCCTGGGCCCGCGGCCAGGCCAGGCCAAACCAAGGGCGAGCGACCGCCTGCGCTCGCAAGGGCTACCCGGCTACCAGGCAGCGGCCACCAGCAGTGAACTTTACTGTTCCTACTAATGCTGCTTTCGTAGGGGGTCCGACTCCTAAGTAGGGTCGCGCTGGGGTAATCCCTCCCCTCAAAGCCACTCTTCCTTTCCCTTTCCTCCTTATCCATACCTTCCCCCCTCGCCTCCCTTTCCCTACATTTTTCACTCCCTGGCCGTTCCCCCCCTCCCTGTTGCGGCGCCCCCCCTTTCCCGGGCGGGCCTCGCCTGCAGAATCAGGGTCCGAAGGCTCCGAATGCTCCCACGTCAGCCAACGGAGCCCAAGTGGCCGCGGGGCGAAAGCACGAGCAACGAAAGGAGGGGCAACAGGAACACGGGCGCCACATCCCCCGGGCAACGGAGGAGGAGGGGAGGAGTGAACCGCAGGTTCTCCGGGGGAGCCCAGGCTGTGGAGAGTCATGCCCTACCTTTTCCCCGGGGAAATTGCCTAAACGTATTATTATATTATATATGCACATGCACATTTTTCTATTCTTCTCATATTATTAGCATCCTTGCTGTGGAAGTGCTGCTCAGGTGTCTGCCGCTTCTAGCACTGGGGGGCCCACGCGGAAGGAACCCGGGGGCAAACTGACGACGTGGTTGGACGCCTCCCTTGGCTTGGCGGTCGCCCACCCACCCTGCGCCCCGTGCGGAGGGTGGTCGGCGGCAGGCGCTGCGGGCGAGGCAGGCCACCGTGTAAAGCGAGAGCTTGGAATGGCCCTGCGTGGGGCACGACACGATACTGCACGCAGCCGCGTGGGCAGAGAGGAACTGGTGGAGGGCGTGCCGGCGCCACGCCAAGGGCCTGGGCCGTGGCATGGGCGGCGGCGAAGTGAACAACGAGGCTTGGTGCCTCAGCAGCGGAGACGGGAAATCTGGGGAGCCCCCGTCCACGTAGGGCAAGTCGCCAAGGAGACCGACGTTGAAGCGGTGCCCAACTCAGTGGGCGAAGCAAGCGGCGGAGGTAAAACGGGCACAGGCGCACCCCTCCAACCTGGAAAGGCCCGAAGCCCAAGGGAGCCTCTTGGGCCAGCTCCACGGGTGTCTGGGCCCCTTCTGGGCCCTCTTGAAGCCCTCAAGGCCCCCCAGGACCCACATGCAGACCAGAAGTCGGGGTTCCGGGCCCTCCCCTGGCCTACACCGATACTATGTGTATATATATACCTATACGACCACCCTTCGGGTGATAAGGAGGCTCGGGGGGGGGAGGAGGCCGCGTCTCACTCGATCGGTCTCACTATCCATCTCACTATCGGTCTCGCTCGATCGATCTCACTCGATCGATCTCACAATCGATCTCACTCGATGTATCTCATTCGCTCGGTCTCACAATTGATCTGATTATCGATATCACAATCGATCTCACATTCGGTCTCACTATCGATCTCACTACCGATATCACAATCGATCTAACATTCAACTTCATCATCATCATCATCAGCATCATCATCATCATCGCCATCATCATCGTCATCATCATCATCACCAACACCATCATTTTCATCGACATCGGGACACTGTCGTCATCATCCTCATCGTCATCATCATCAACGCCATCATCATCAGGCCATCATCATCATCCCCATCATCATCTCATCATAGTCAGCAATAGTCAGCAACAACATCATCATCATCATCATCATCATCATCATCATCGGCACACAGCCTTCGTCATCATCACCATCAGCATCATCATCATCGGGACACCATCATGGTCACCATCATTGTCATCGTCAACATCATCAACAACATCGGGACACCATCATCATCATCATTTAATCATCATTATCATAATCAACAGCATCATCAACATCATCGGGGCACCATCATCATCAGCAGCATCATCGTCACCAACATCATCATCAATATCATCATCGGTACACCATCACCATCACCATCATCATCACCACCGTCATAATCATCATCATCGGGATACCATAATCATCATCAGCAGCATCATCATTACCAACATCATCATCAACAACAACGGGCAGAAACATCAACATCATCGTCATCTCATCATCATCAACAACATCATCAACATCACCAGCGGGACACAGCCATCGTCATCATCACCATCAGCATCATCATCATCATCGGGACACCATCATGGTCACCATCGTTGTCATCGTCAACATCATCAACAACATCGGGACACCATCATCATCATCAGCTCATTATCATCATCATCATCAACAGCATCATCAACATCATCGGGACACCATCATCATCAGCAGCATCATCATCACCAACATCATCATCAATATCATCATCGGTACACCATCACCATCACCATCATCATCACCACCGTCATAATCATCATCATAGGGATACCATAATCATCATCAGCAGCATCAGCATTACCAACATCATCATCAACAACAACGGGCAGAACATCAACATCATCGTCATCTCATCATCATCATCAACATCATCATCATCACCAGGACACCATCATCGTCATCATCATCACCATCAACACAACCATCATGATCATCATCAACATCATCATTATCGGGACACCGACGGGACACCAACGGGACACCGGCGGGACACCGCGGGCCCCCGGCCGCCCGAAGGGAGTCATTTGGTCCGGCCGCGCCTCAGCCACACGGGACACCAGCGGGACACCGGCGGGACACCGCGGGCCCACGGCCGCCCGGAAGGGAGACATTTGGTCCGGCCGCGCCTCAGCCACAGGAGACTTTCTCTCGCCCGCCCACGCAGCTTCGCCTCGCCCGCACGGCACGCACGAACACGAAACCAAAATCGATTTCCTGGTAGGGGGGCTCTCCGTTCCACTTCGATCTCACCCTCTCACCTCCGATATATACACACACGCACATGTATTACATAGGTACATGTGTACCTGCTTGTATACATACACAAACAAAAACTCATACATATACGTAAACATTTTACAGTTACAGTTACATATACATATACGTATACATTTACATATACATATACATATACATATACATATACATGTACATATACAAATACACATACAGATATATGTACATGTACACGCACATATACATATACATATACATATACATATACATATACATATACATATACATACACACATGCATAAACATATACACACATATACATATGCATATACATAAACATGTGCATCGACATATACATATACATAGACATATACATGTACATGTACATGTACATGTACATGTACATGTACATACACATATACATGTAAATGAATATTACATATACATATACATATACATATACATATACATTATACATATACCTATACCGATACCTATACATATACGTATACATATACATAAACATATACATATACATGTACATATACATATACATATACTTATACATACACATATAAAGATACAACTACCTATACATATACACATACCCATACATATAATTACGACTGTACTTATACACACACATGTACATATACGTATACATATACAGTTATACATATACACTCACATATACACATAGCTGCACGTATACATATACATATACATACACTGGCACATATACATATACATACACATATACATATACATATACATCGCCATAAACACTCACTTAAGCATACGCATTAAACATAAACACAAACATGTGTTCCTACGTATACATATATATATGTGCATATACATATACATAGACATTTACAAATACATATGTAAATACATATACGTAGCCATATACATATGCGTATACATAGGCATAGACATAGACATATACATATACATGTACATATACATATTCATATTCATATACATATACATATACGTACGCCTAAACATGTACATATACATCTGCATGTACATATAAATATACATATACATATACATATACAAGTACATCTACATATACATATACATATACATGTACATATACATATACATGTACATATACATATACACAAACATCTACATATGCATATACATATACATATACATATGCATATACATATACATATGCGAATGCAAATACATATGCATTGATCCCACCAGCCCTCTGGGCGTCGGTGGTCTAGAGAGTTTCCTCTTCCAACCCATTTCTTCCCCTTCGGGGAGGGGTTTACACCTCCCCCTACCCCCTCCCCTGGACCTGGGGCGTCCAAGATGGCCCAAGACGGCTCCCAGAGCGAAAAGGCGAGAAAGCACAAAGCATTGATTGCCCCTAGGTTTTGGAAGGATTTTGGCACCTTCGGGGGCCCAAGAGGCGACTCAAGGCACTCTAGAGGGGCAGCGCTAATTGACAACCTCCCCTTCTTTGATAGATCTCGTCCAAGATGGCCCCAAAGGCGGCCCGAAGCCTCCCAAGAGCGCCCCAAGAGCGCCCCAAGACGCCCCAAGAGGCGCCCAAGAGGCCTCCAGGAGACTCCCAAGAGATCCCCAAGAGGCCCCAAGAGGCCCCCCGAGATACGCGAGAAACCCCCGGGACCGCCAAGAGGCCCGAAAGACGGAACAAGGGGCCCCCAAGCTCGCCATTGTCCTCCCTTTCCTCCTCCTCCTCCTCCTCCTCCTCCTCCTCCTCCTCCTCCTCCTCCTCCTCCTCCTCCTTCTCCTCCTCGACACAGCCTGGCGCAAGGATGAACTCCCAGCGCTCCGTCCCACCGCGGGGGGCCTGAGCTCCACCTGAGGAGCCCAGGACCCCCCGTCCGTGCTGCGCTCGTCGGCCAACACGCCGAAGAGCCTCATGGAGTGGAGCGCCGCGAAGCACTCCATGTGCGGGGAGGGGGGGAAGGGGCAGGCGGCGGCATCCCTCCGCGGGACGCCGCACTATCGCCGACCCTTCCGCTGCTTCCCCCCCCCCGCCCGGGCGCCGGCGTCGGGCACCTCCACCGCCTGGTCGAGCCAGGTGCGGAGGCGGGCGAGCGGCCAGCTCGCGAAGTGGGGCTGGAAGGCGGCCACGCGGGCCCCAGGCGTCCTGAGCCACGCTGAGATCAGCGCGGCCTTCACCGAGGCCTCGTCCGAGCCATCCTCCGCCTCCGCGCCAGTAGCAGCAGCAGCAGCAGCCGCCTCGGGCGCACCCTCCGCGGGCAGCTCGGCGCCCCCCCCCTCGCCGCCGAGCCCTGCTCCAGGCGACTCATGAGTAGGGGGCGCCTCCGCAGCCAGCGCCCCAGCGGCAGCGCCGGGCGCGGCGGCGGGCGCATCGGCCAAGGGCGCTGGGCGGGACAGAGTGTCCGCCCAGCTGTCGTCCTCGAGGCCGTCGTCGCCGCCGCCGTCCGCCGTGCCGCCGCCGTCGCAGCCGAGGTCGGGCAGGGTGGGCTCCACCTGCATGCCAGCGCCGCGGCGCTTGCGAGCCCGCCGCCGACGCCGCCGAGGCCGAAGATGGCCTTCAGGCGGCGCGGTGCCAGCGGGAGCAGCAGGTGGCCCGTCCGCTCGTCCCTCGGCACGGGCAGGTCGAGGCCGCGCCTCGGCCTCGAGCACCGCCGTCGCGGTGCGGCAAAGCCCCTCTGCGGCGCGCAGCAGCCGAACGGCCGCCGAGCCGCGCGTGAGGCCCGCCGCAGCGTGCACCGCCAGCGAGGCCCCGCGGGCCGCGGCTAGAGCAGCGCGAACGTCAAGCGCCGCCGACATCGGAGGCCCGCGGCGAGCCGCCCGACGGCGGACCTGCGGCGGCGGGCTCGACGCGGGATCGGCTCTCCTCCTTCTCCTCCTCCTCCTCCTCCTCCTCCTCCTCCTCCTCTATGTGTTCCTCCTCCCTCCTCCCCCTCCCTCTCCTCCTCCTCCTCCTCCTCCTCCTCCTCCTCCTCCTCCTCCTCCTCCTCCTCCTCCTTGTTTTCCTTTTCCTTCCCGTCCTCCTCGTCCTCGCCCTCCTGCATCTCCTCTCTTCCCTTTCCTCCTCCTGCTCCTCCTCCTGCTCCTCCCCTTTCCCCCTCCTACTCCGACGACGACGACTCATCCTACATCCTTTCCCTCTTGGAGCATATGGCGGCTCTCCGCCCATTGTTTTTCTGCATGCTCACCCGCTTCCCTCATCGCCTCCACTCCCCTGGGGTTCATTTCTGGACGGGCTGGTGGGGATACGCGAAGCGTCAAGAATTTTTACCTAAGCGTATACATATACATGCACAAATACATATACCTCTACATATGCATACACGTATACATATACATATGCATATACATATACATATACATATACATATACATATACATATACATATACAAAATACATATACATATACATATGCATATGCATATACCTATACAAATACAAATACATATACATATACATGAACTTATACATATACCTATACGTATACATATACATATACATATATATATATATATATATATACATATGCATATACAACTACCTGTATATATATACACATGTACATATACATATACATATACATATACATATACATGTACATATACAAGTACATATACATATACCTATACATATACATATACATATACATATACATATACATATGCATGCATATGCATATGCACATGCATATGCATATGCATATGCATATGCAAATGCAAATACATATACATATACATGTATATATGCATATACATACACGTATACATATACATATACATGTACATATACATATACATATACGTATACACATACCTATATATATACATATACATGTGCACATACATATACATATGCATATGCATATGCAATTACCCATACATATACAAATACATATACATAAACGTAGACAAATACATATACATAAACATGTACATAAACATGTACATAAACGTGTACACAAACATATCCATAAACATAGCCATATCCATATACATATACATATACATATACATATACATACACCGATACACATACATATACATATACATATACATATACAAGTACATATACATATACATCTACATATACAAATACATATACACATACATATACATATACATATACATGTACATATACATATACATATACATGTCCAGGTACATATACATATACATACACAGAACGTTAAACATAAATGAAACAAAAAAAACTATACACATGCATTGACAAATACATGTACACATACATATACATACACATATACATATACATATGCATATACAAATACAGATACATATACATATACACATATATATATATACATACACAAATACATATACATATACATATACATATACATATACATATACATATAAATATACATATACATATACATATACATGTACATATACACACCACTATACATATACGTAAACATATAAATAAACATAAACATACACATACAAATATGCATCCACATATACATATACATGTACATGTACATACACATATACATATACATATACATATACATATGCATATACATATATATACGTATATATATATACATATACATATGCATATACATGTACCTAGAAATACATGTACATATACATACACATACATACACATATACATAGACATAAACCTATGCATATACATATACATATACCTGCGCATATACATATATGCATATACTTATAAATGCAAATATGCATATACTTATATAGATATATATAACACAAACATATACATATACATAAACATATAACCATATACATATACATATGCTATAATTACGCACGCGCTTAGGTTTTGCTCGCAGATGAACCACGGGCACCGCTGTAAGCCCCGCTGTGGCCACAACGACGATTTCCAACGTTCTGGGGCCCATGCCATCGTCGCAAAAAAAACGCGTAGTCGCAACGCGGGGCGCCACGGTCCCGCGCATCTCACAATCTCGCTGCCGCCTTCGCTTGGTTTATAAAACTACGTTTTTCTTCGACGTCCACTTCCGCTCTGCCTCGTCGTGACACTCAATGATTTTGCACAAATTCTCGGTCCCCCCATGCCCGCCCGATCACGCAGAAACCCGCCGGCTCCTGATGTTGGGGTCGGCTCGGTGCCTGGTCGCGCGCGCGTGGGAGCGCGTTGTTTATTTTCCTCCCTTGTGTTCTAGGCTTCTCGTTCTCAGCGATCGTTCAGCTGTCGGGTATCTGCAGAGGACGCACGCAGATGTCCCTGTCATTAGCGCCATTCTCTGTCATCAACTTTTGTCGAGTCCGTCCACGGGAATGGGGAAGCTTCTTTGTGCTGGGCGCCGAACCTCATGCCGGCGATAATCGCACCCGTGGGATCATAAGGTTCTTGCTCACGGGGGATGCTCAATGATTTGCCTGGCAAGTCCCATGTATGGGGCTGCCTGTAACTCTGACGGGGCCAAACGCGATACATTATTGGCGCTCTGGCGAGGCCTCTCAGGAGGTGAGGGAGGGGCACGAAACCTGAAAAAATCGTATAGTATAGACACACCCCGTTCGCTCGGGCAGGTCCGCCCTGCAAGGGTGGGAGGAGCAAGGATCACGTGAAATAGTATGGTGTAGGGGTGCCCTGCTTTTTGTGGCGGGGGGCTCCTTGGCGCTCCGGCGGGGCTTGCCCAGGAGGGGAGGGAGGAGCACGAAACCTAAGGACAATTATGGTATAACCACACCCGTTGCGCTCTGACGGAGCTACCTCGGGTGCGGTGGGAGGAGCTAGAAAGAACAGAGAATGTATATGGTATAGCAACACCCCTATCGCTCTGCCTTTGGGTCGCCTTTGGGGGGTGGGAGGGGGAAAGCAACTTACGAAATGATAGGGTATGACGATGCCCCGCTCGCTCTGGCGGGGCCTGTCTGGCGCTCTGGCGGGGCCGTCCCAGGAGAGAAGGGAGGAGCACGAAAACTGAGGGGTGAGCGGAGGAAGAAGAGAGAAAGGAGGGAATGGAGGCAAGGGGAAGGGGCGGGAGGGAAAGAGGGAAGGGGGGGGGGGCGGGCCCCGGCCATCTGGGCCGTCTTCGAGCGCCCTGGGGCCTCCCGCTCCCGCTCTGTGGCCCATCTTGGGCCTGTCCTGGGGCCTCTTGGGCCGTCTGGGGCTCCTCCTGGGCAACCTTCGGGCTCTCTGGGGCCGTCTTGGGGCTCTTTTGGGAGTCTCTTCGGCGGTCTTGGGGCGGTCTTGTGGACGTTTGGAGCGTTGGAAGCTCGAGAACGCGAGAAAGCGGAAAACATTGGAAAAAAACAATTCACAAATAAAGGATTTGGGCCTCTTCAGGCTCTCTCGGGACGTTTCTCGGAGCTTTCTTGGGGCCTCTTGGAGGCCTCTTGGGCTGTGTATTTGCCGTGTTGGGCTCATCTGGGTCCACATTGGGGTCATCTGGGCCGTCTTGGAGCGCCTTGGGGCCTCCCGCTCCCGCTCTGTGGCCCATCTTGGGCCTGTCCTGGGACTCCCTTGGGCCGTCTGGAGCTCTTCCTGGGCAATTTTCAGGCTCCTTGGGACCGTCTTGGGTATCTTTTGGGTGCCTCTTCGGCGGTTTGGGGGCGGTCTTGGGGGCGTCGTCGGCCGTCTTGGAGCGTTGGAAGCTCGAGAACGCGAGAAACCAAAAAACATCGAACAAAACAATTCGCAAATTAAGGATTTGGGCCTCTACAGGCTCTCTCGGGACGTTTCTCGGAGCTCTCTTGGGGCCTCTTGGAGGCGTCTTGGGCTGTGCACTTGCCATCCCGAGCCCATCTTGGGCCACGTTGGGGCTATCTGGGCTGTCTTGGAGGGGCTTGTCGAAGTCCCCCGAGGGCTCCTGGGAGCGTCTTGGAGCTCTCTAGGGCAATCTGGGGGCTCCACGGCCGCTCCGGGGTGCTCTGGGTGCGGTCTCGGAGCCCCGGTCCTCCCATGCGCTGTCGGGGCCCGGCCCCCGCGCCCCCGGGCCTCGCGCGCGGGGATACTGTTACATATATATTTATATATAATATATATATTACATATAAATATATATATACACATACCTATGTGTGTGAAGGGGGGTCAGACAATCTTAGTTGTTTAAGTAGTGATGTTCAACAACAGCGATCAGTTTGCAGTCAAAACTGGTAGTAAGGATGCGCGATAAGGATGCGAGACCCTTGGACGCGCATGCCGAAGCTTTTCGAGGGGGGCTCACCATCGAAAGCGATTAAGGATCGAACGAAAGGCAAGGATGTAAGGATACCCTTGGGAAGACTACCCATCCTTACCATATGTTTCGACTGCATGAGTTCGTTAGTTTCCGCTCGCATGTCACTCAACATCTATATCCCAAACCCTCGATGCCCGCCCCCTTTGTCTTCAATCATACCCCCCTTGGGATCCATCTTCCTTACCCTCCACTTGTAGTTGGCGCAGCCCCTTAAACAAGGGCAAGGATGAGGGAAGGGACAACGGGGAGAGAGAAGGATGGAGCATGACAAGGATTAGCAGGAGGCGGGCTAGGAGCAGAAAAACAAGCGGCAGAAGGCGGGCGGGTCTGGCGGGGCATGTCGGGCGGGCGGGCCCAGACGGCAGGTTCGAGCGGGCGGGTCGCTGAAGCGTCAGTCCTGCATGAATCGGGAGGAAGTCTCTAACGATAGCGCGATTCCCAAGTACATCGTGAAAAAGTGCACAGCGATAGCGTGATTCCTGAGTGTCGAGGGAGCGGCGTCACAAGAAATTGCGAAGAAGTACCACGCGAAAGCGCAAGTCTTGAATAAACTGTGAAGCAATCCCACGTAAGAGCGCGATTTTGAATGAATCGTACGAAAACTCTGGCGGGCGCCGCCGATGTTGCGGAAATTCGGAGGCCAACAACGCATCCAGCGCTGGAGGGGGGGATCAACAATAGCTACTCTTTAGACATGAAGTTCAACAGGACTAGCGAAGAAGTCCGCCACCATGCTGCGAATGGAATGTCCTCTGGCCCCTTCGAGTGCCAAAGTGCTACGAGCCACGAGTTGAAATGTCCTCAGGTCCTTTCAATACAGGGTCCAGTCCTTTAGAATTGAATATCAGTCGGCCCGGATCCCAAATTGCCAGAATTCCTCGGGCGTGCCGCGTGTTCCATCAGATCTCTTGGGACTTCCCGCGTGACTTCTCTGGAGACCAGAGGGCCGAAAGACGGGCAAAGAAGGTCCCGAAGCGCCTCACGACAGTCCAAGAGGGTCCCCGGACGTCCCAAGAGCGCTCCAAGACGTCCAAGATGCCTCAAGACGGCCCCCAAGACGCCCCAGGGCTCCAAGAGGCCCCCCAAGAGGGCCCCGAAAAGAGCCCATGGAAGGGCGACAAAGATGGAAATCGAACTGATATTTGGAGCCCCCCACCTCAAGATGTCCTCCGAGACAGCCAGCAGGCCCCCAAGAGGCGCCCAAGGGGCCCCGAGGAAGCCTCCAGGAGGCCACCAAGAGGCCACCACGAGGCCCAACAAAATACTCCAAGTCCCCGTAGGTATCTCGAGAGACCCTTCCAAGTCGCCGACGAAAAGGCCCCCCATGAGATCCCAAGAGGCTTCTATAAAGCCTCCAATCCACGACCCAGGCACGGTGGTGGGATCGGCCGAAGGCCACCAGATTCTAAAAGCGGAAAGCGGACATGCTGGATGCTCTAGGACTGCAGCAGCCAGAGCCACAGCTATCACGAAGAGCCAGAGCGGCAAAGAGCGATATTCTCCAGGATCCATGAGGCGAGGGCCTGGGAGGAGGGAGCAACGAGGAGGTTCCCTCCTTCCTCCATAAACCCTGCCGCTCCATTCTCGTTCTCCATCATCCCCCGCTCGTTGCGTCAATGGGCCGGCGCGGGTGCAGGAGGAATTGGAGGCGTGGGGGGCGAGGAAGGGGAGGGGCAAGAAGAAAGAGGAGGCGAAGACAATGTGGGAATTCCGCCCCTGGCTCCCCCGACGGGCCAGACCCGACCGGAGGCGGCGGTCCTCAAAGACTGGCTGGAGCGAAGCGCTATCCATCTGCTCGCCACCAGCCAACGCCTCGAATTCCGATAACTCAGCAGAGAGCAGCTCCTGCGGGGGGGAGGAACAAGGCAGGGCAGGGCGAGGGCGGGGCGGAGGGGCGAGGGCGAGGGAAGCATACAGATCACGGTGCCTCCGTCCTCGGGCCCTCGGGCGGGCGAGCACTGGGGACGTGCCCGAGCGGATGCGCCCAGCCAGATGCTCACGTGTTTGAGAGTCACCCCCAAAACGCCGAAACCAAACCGTGTTCCGTCGGATTGCGACCAACAGTTGAGATTTCTCCTCCTCCTTATCATCCCCTTCCTCTTCGCCGACACTCTTCCTCCTTCCTCCCTCTTCCTCCTCCTCCTCCTCTTTTGCCTCCTCCACCCCTCTGCCTTATAAAACAATTATAGTCAAGCATTCCCTCAAGTAGGCTTTGCGTAAACAAAAAAAAACAAAAACCTTGCGAAATTGCGAATCACAGGTGGGTGGGTGGCCTGCGCCAGCCAAGGTTGCCAGGGCTCCGCGGGCTCAACTTTTTTACTGCGACAACTGGCCTTGCCCAGGTTGCCTGGGTTACCCATGTTACCCCTGGGTGCCATGATGCTGTTTCCTCTTCGTTTTTGAAGGGGCGCAATACTTTTTTCCGTCGCAGCGCGGCAGAGGCGATCCGCACGCGCGTCGGGACGAGACCTGGACACGGCCTCGCGAATTAGTCCGCATGGAAGAGGGGGGAGGGAAGGGGGGCGGCCGCAGAGAAGGCAACAGGGCGCGGAGCCCTCTCACGTGGCGAGACTGCGGCAGGCGCGCGGGCGCGGCCGGGCTGAAGGGTGGTCCCTGGCAGCGACTGTGGGACGGCGTCGCAGTGCCACGCAATGCCAAGAAATGCAATGCAATGCAACGGAAAGCAACGCCACGCAATGCCAAGCAATGTCATGCAAAGCCAGGCAACGCCAAGCAATGCCAAGCAATACCACGCGATGCAAAGCAATACCCAGCAAGGCAATGCAAAGCCAAGAAATGGCCCTCAACACCAAGCAATACCAAGCAGTGCTAGGCGATGCCATACGGAGCAACGCAACACCAAGCAATGCAAACCATGCAAAACAATGCCAAACCATGTCGAGTTCGCCGGCCCAACGGGCCAGAGGCGTGCTAAGATCTCCGGTAACTGGCTAACAATTCTCTAATTCGCGCGCGCGGGGCGGCCCCTGGGGGTCCCCGGACGAAAAAAGTACCCCGGGCGGGTCCCGGCTGATCCCCGGGCGACTCCACCAGAGCGCTCCATGAGCGCACCAACAGGGCTCCGAGACGTCCCCGAGAGCCCCAAGAGGCCCCCAAGAGGCCCCCAAGATGGTACACGAGGGGTCCGACATGCCACAAGATCGCTCCAAGACGCCCAAGATAGCCCCCAGACGCCCCAAGAGGCCTTCAAGAGCACTCCCAAGAGGACCCCAGGAGGCAAAATTCATTGCTTTTCCTTAGGTTGTTGAGAGATTTTGGAGCTTCCGCCTTTTCGGCTTCCCGACGCCCCAAGACGGCCCAAGAGGCCCCCAAGATCGCCCTAAGAGGGCCCAAGAGGCCCCCAAGAGGGCCCCAAGATGGCCCAAGAGGGCTCGAAGACGGCCCAAGAAGCCTCCAAGACGGTCCAAAAGGGCCCCAAGAACGCCCCCAAAGGGGCCCCAGAGAGGGAACACGAAACAACATTTCGAGCCCTCGGCCCTAAGAAGCCCCCACGAGGCCCCAAGAGGCCCCTAAGAGGCCCCAAGAGGCCCCCACGAGGCCCTCAGGAGGCCCCCAAGAGTCCCCCAAGCGGCCCCAAGCGAGCCCCAGGAAATGCCCCCAAATGAGCACGCAAGCAAGTGCAAGCGATGCTACAATGTGCTCTCCTTTCGGTAGACTCCCAACGGGGCCCCTACAGACTTGCAACAAGCGTCAAGAACCTGCCCAAAAAGCACTGTCCAGGAGCGTTCACAAGTGCCGCGAAGAAGCCCTCCTTACGCCGGAAAGCCCGGAAAGCCGGGTGGGGTGAGCTGTTCTTCTCACCACCGCGCCCTCTCACACAATGGCTTCCGCACGCCGCCCAGAGCGCGACGTTCGGCTCATGCCCCCAGAACGCTCCAGGAGCGCGCCAAAACGGCACCGAAACGCCCCCGAAACAATCCAAGCGGCCTCAAGTCGCCGAACAATCGTTCCAAATCGCCCAGGATGACCTCAAAATTGCCGTGGAGGCCGCCAAGAAGCCCCAAGAGAGCCTCAAGAGGCCCTCCAAGACGGCCATTACAATCAAAAATCGTCCCATTCCCAGAGGAACATGCAAACTTCCCGCATGAACGGCGTTTCGAGTTTCACAGCGCCTCAGGCTACGCAAATAGCCCCCAACATCGCCCCGAGACAGCCCAACAATCCGCTAAATCGGCCCAAGACGGCCCAAGATAACCCCAAGACGGCACAAGAGAGCACCAAGACCACCCAAGAGGCGCCCAAAGGGGGATTCTGCCCCTAGGAGCACCTCAGAAGCCACCAACATCTCGCCAATAAGTCCCCCAAGACGCCCCAAGAACCACCCAAGAAGCCCAACAAGAAGCCCCAACGACCCCCAAACGGCCCTTGCGGGGCCTCAAGAGGCTTCAACACTGCCTCCAAGAGGTTCCCGAGACGCCTGGCAAAAGAACCCCCAAAGCGCCGCATTGACACCAGGCCCTCGGGCAAACGGCAGACATGAGACTGTATGGGCCGGCGGAATGAGCGAAGCGATTATATAATGTCAAGCAATGCTGCTTAGGAACCGTTCCCCTGATTGGGGTCGCGCCGGGTTCAGTTGTTAACAAAAAAAGCTGCGTGCCACCACCAGACGTGCTGTTAGGGCGGGCCAGGCGTTTGGCCCTGAAGCTTGAACTTCAGAAAGCAGAAGGGCGAGGAAGAGCGAATGAAGGGCGAATGCAGTGATGGCAACTCCCACCAACACTTACAGGGATGAACGGCGACCCGGTGTCCAAATGCAACACACCCTTGGCGCCATGCACATTAGTCGACAAAACTTCCGCTGCTAAAATTAT